GAAAAGTAGAAAAATAAAGGTCAGGCAACACATAGCAGACTTGTTCTTAAATGGTTGATTTTTGTACTTTCCAAATAATGACTTAACTACCACACTGGGAAAGACACTTGACTCTTCTGAGTCTCAGTTTAGCCATCTGTAAAATGTAATAATATGTCTTCTAAAATTGTTAAAGGCTCAAATAGAAATCACCTAGTATCTTAATCCGTGAATAAATAAATAATAATTTTGTTCTTCCTTCCTAAAAGCTTGTATAAAAACGTATTTCTTTTAAAAATATTTAATGGTAAAACCATAAGTAATATTAAAATTATTAACATGAAAAGAAACTTCGCTAGGTACTTCGCACTTACCAAACTTCTTGGTTTGTAAATTCCTATAAGATCTGACCTTTAGGCTCATTTACTGCCTCAAATTTTACATTTCAACAATATTTAACTAAAATAGTTGCATGTCCCTGAACATATGTTGTTTCCAATCTATATGCCTATTTTCTTTCTGGATTCTCTTCTAACTCATATCTCAAAAATCTAGCCTAAATGTCTCCCCTCTCTTTAGAGATTTCCCTAGTCTCCTCTCCTAGACAGAGTGAGTGAATCATTCCCTTTTGTATTCTCCTCCTAAAATTGAAGCTATCAAAAAAGTGACAAGAGTCCAAGAAAAATAAATGAAATGTAAACAAATCAAAGACATTTAAACAATGGCATAAACTTTGTAAAATTATCTTGATGTAATCAGGATTAATTTTGGTCATGAGTGACAAAAAGCCAAAACTCAAGTGTCTTACAAGATAGAAGTTTATCTCACTCAAGTCATAGGTCACTGCGGGCAGGGTGACATCCTGAAGTTATCAGGGACTTTCCATCTTATTGCTTTGCCCATTCTTAGCTTGTGGTTTCCACTCATTGTCCAATTATCATGCCCACATCTCAGCAAGCATGGAGGAAGGGGGAAAAATAGGGTGTGCCCGCCTTCCTTTAACAATACTTTCTGCAAGGTGCACACAGTACTACTGCTTACGTATCTCTAGCCAAAACTTAGTCACATGACCACATTTAGCTGTAAGAGAGACTGAAAGTGATACTTTTATTCCAGGTAGTCATAGGCTGGGAACAAAACTAGTAGACGGAGAAAATTGACATTAGGGTACAAGAATCAGTCATTGCCATGCTTGTTCATATCTTATCTGTGGTAGGTACCTAACTGACATTTAAAATTTACTATCTAACACCAATATTTCTAATAGTGTGTACACTGTAAAATTATATAGTAATTTCTTCTAAATTTGAAATTTTCAGTTAAATATTTCTATTGGTAGAGATAAATCTCTATGAAATTTAAATAATATTCACAATAAAATTACCAAAGGAAAAAAAGAAATTTTAATAAAAACAGGAAAAGCCACTTTATTTTAAAAGTTGCTTTGTAACAAGTTACTAAATATGAAGCAAAACGTTAAATAAGAATATTTAAAATAAAATATAGCCACTGTATTAATAAAATTACATATAAACAAAACTGCACGTAAGCAAAATTGCACGAATACTCTCAGAGAAGATAGAGGATTTGGGGAGATGTGAGAAGAAAAAAGTCTATGAGTTATTTTATTATACTTCCTACAAATGCCATTCAGAGATTTTTTAATCAATTAAGAGGTGATCATGAAACAGAAGTAAAAATTATAATAGAGTAAAGCAAAACCAGGTTTGGATCAAGATCTCACACTATGTGACTCTGGGCAAGTAACTTTACAGATAGATGATGATGACTATGACAAGGGGTCAACAGAATTTACCATGTCAGCCTCTGTGCTGCGCTTTTATTATAAGCATTTTTTAATTTAATATTCACAACACTCCTGAAGTATAAACACTACTCTGCTTTAGAGAGAAAAAAACTGGATCTTAGACTATGTAACTGACTCAAGATCAAAAGAGCTATATAAATATTGCAGCACAAACTTAGAGGTTTTTCTGACCCAGTTCCTCTTCTTAACCATTATGCATGTTACTTCCCTTCAAATTCTCTGGATGTTGGTTTTCTCATCTGTTATATAAGGGGAATGTAGCACAACCTAAACTTTTCTAAAGTTCATTCTGGCCTTCTAAGATATTAGTATTCTAGTGAGGTCTGACTCTCCCCACCCCGAAAAAAGCACATTGTATCAATAGATCTAATCAGCCTCCTTGCTGGAACTTATGTAAGTCAACAAAGTTATCATTACTATATGTAATGTAGAAAATAAAAATCCATACATTAAAACGTACAGATGAAAGGATCACAATGTGTAAGTAAGGTAAACATAGATATATCCCTGATCTTTATAGTTGATGTCCTACCCCTCTCATATCAATAAAGGAGTAAACTATAACATTAAACAAGTAAAAGGGAAGAAAGGTAACTAATACTTATAAAAATCCTTTTAAATATATGCATAAATCATTTTCTGCAGATACTGAGGCACGAAGAGGCTGACTTGCTAAAGGTCATATACACAGTATACAGCGGCATCAGTACTTGAACTCGCTCTGGTTCTAAAACCCATGCCCTTTCCTAACTACCCTGCTTCCTATGGTTCAATTTTGGATATGCATGTATTAATATCCTTGTTTCAATTTTAATATAAGAAAACTAAAGATACTAATTAATTTAGTTCTTTCTGGGGTATTTATGATTACTAGCAACATTTGCTAAATACTCATTTGCTCAATAGGAAAATACATATTAAAATATGCAGAATACAAGGGAATATATGTTATCAGTTACATAAGAATAATAAAAATTAAGCATCACCAAACTACTAAGGAGGGAGAATCACTTTCAATTAGGATGATTAGGGAAGGCCTCAAAGAGATGATTACAGGTATACAGGGCATTAGAAGGGAGGTTTGATTTCATCAGGAGAAACAAAAGACTGGAAAGGGAAAAGAATATTCTAGGAAAAGGGAATGACATGAATGTAAGTATGGAGACAAAATGTATACTCAAGGTGGAGTATGTAGTTCACATTGTATAGAATGTAGGGTTCTTCTTCTTGAATAATAGGATATTTGTCTGGGAAATATGTTAGAGCCAAACTGAGGAGGGGTCTTGAATACCAAGTTAGAAAGCCTTAATTTGAACTTATAAGAAATGGAAAGTCACTAAACATCTTCAGGTAGAGACATAAAAGAATCAGAGCAATGCTTTAATAAAGTTCAACTGAGGATCACATATAGGCTTCAATAGAATTGATGATGGCCAGGAGGAAAAGAAATCATTTAGAAGATCTTGACACTTCAGAGAAATGTAACATAAGGAGTAAAAACAGAAATTCTCCTGAGTTCTGAAGAAAAAAATATACAAGGTATATATTATATATGAATACTCCAGCTCCAGCTCTGAAACAATCTATAATAGCCCCTTCCTAACCACAGCATTCTACTCTTTTAGTTCTTTATCATCTCATTTCACCAGCTTATCTACCTCTGACTAGTCCTTTCTCCATTTTCTCTGAATATATCAGCCCTTCCCTGGCCTCATTTTATTCCAGTCCCATGGTCAACACTTGAACTACTCTCTCAATACCCTCAGCCTGAATCAGTGATGAAATCTACCCTCTTCTTGACTCAAGGAGCTAGAGAAAGCCTCACAACCCGTACATTATTACACAGGGTTTCTACTATCAGTCACTTATGAAACTCTCAAATGAATACTTCTTAATTTTTAACTTATTTAACATCTGATAATATTGAACACCACCTCTCTTCCTGAAATTCTTGAATTCAGAACAGTTGCAATTAAGTGTTCTCTTAATATTACCCTAAAAATGTACTGAGAGTTAGCATTTTTTAATTAAAAAAAAACACCTTTTTCATCCAATGCTAATTTTAACTTCCTTGATTATAAAACATTAGATGCAAAACAGAAGGTTACTACAGAAATATGTTAATATTTTGTTGTAAACCATTCAGTTAGGGCAATAAAGTTCTGATTAAGAAAAAACAAACAAGCAAAGAGCAACAAATCAGAGATAGCTAAAATGCTCCCTTAGGAAAATGAACATGCCATATACATCTGTAGACTCAATGATGATGATAAAGCCTTTAAAAATAGAATAGAATAAAAGTTGTCTCTGGCCTCTCTGAAAAATGTTAAATTTAACAAATGTACCAGTTTTCAAAAAAAATATTAAAACATTAAGGTTTTATATACACGGAATAACATTTCTGATAATTACTGCTTCTAATGAACAATTAAAATGGGATTTAAGAAGCAGATTAACTGAGTAAATAATTTACTCAATTTTTTTCCTCTGTTACTTAAACGGAGTTTTCAAAAATGCTGTAAAGTTTCATTACTGCAATTCAGATTTTAATAGTTAGAATTTTCTAATAATGTAGATCAAGGCCTTGGATAAAAGTTTTTCTTTAAGTAACATATTTCCTTATACACAGTAGAAATTAACACTTTAAATAAAATTAAAGCGGAAAAGTTCAGTTTCTTAAGAGAACTATCCTTTTTCAACAACTCTCCATATTTGGAAGACTGTTTATAAATCATTTAAATATCAATGAAAAATTTAATCAAGAAGTCTAAGAATCCTTTCAATGCTGTTTTCACAATCTTTCCTTAATATGTGATTACAGTCCCAAGTAATTTTATTTTTGTAATTTTTTCCTAATGTGAAGTCACCTTAAATGTTTCATGCCATATTTTAATAAAAACAAAAACTAAAAAAGATGATGTTCAGATTATGATTCACACTGAAATATGTTAGTATAATTAGGCATATAATTTCAGTTATAAATTAAGTGTATTTTTCATTTAAAATGTTTTAAAATCATTTAAAGAAGTATTTAAATAAGTAGAGCGTGAGATGTGAATCATTAAATGTAAACATTCATTTGGCTGTTGAAAGAAAGAATAACAATCTAAAATCATAAATATTTTCTAACTTAATTCTCATTCTCAGAAAAAACAAAACATCCTTAAAAGCTTAATTATCATTTTAGTCTTACTGTGATCAATGTGGTCAATCTTGTGACATAACTGTTGAGAAATCTGCAATAAAAAAACAGAAATAGCATTCAGCTGAATCATACTTGAGTAAGTGATTTCAGAAACTAAAAAGTTTGTTTAGAATATCTGTCTTTCTTGATGCCATAAGTCATATTTAAATTAATCTAAAATTGTCAGGAAAAGTACAATTGGCATGACACAAATAAGCATAAAACACCTGGAGTTTATTTATAGGTCATTATTTATTATAGTATGGTAAATTATGTTTTGTTATAATCAACAACACCCCAGGGTTAACGTAATATAACATATTAGTAAATAAACTATAGGTCATTTGGGTTAGTTTTATTTGTTTTCAAATATTTACCGAGAGGAGAATCACAGTGTCTTAAATATACTACAAAACAAAAGACAGCCAGGTATTGTTTACCTTTTTCTCTATGATTAGATTAGCAGTGTAGTCTATGGCCAGAACATGATCTACTTATTATCAATTAATAGGAGAAATTGCTTCATGCTAATCCTTATGAACAGTGTCAAAACTATTAAAGATTGAAAATATAATTGGAAAGGAACTATACACTATAAACCCAGGGGACGTTATAAGTTAAACTATTTCCTAAGCTGTATATGCGTTAGAGTTCTTATTCCTGTCAAATCTAAGCTTTTAGAAATTTCTTAATTAACAAAGTATGATTTAATTTAAGGTGAACTTTTAAATGTTTAGTGTTAAAAATTAATACAATGTTAATGGTGTTTTAAGATTCATAATTAGCTTTCATGTGTTATTTCATCAGATCCTCATAACAATTCCTTCAAGGAGCGGGAAAGAGGTATTTCTCATTATATACTCAGGAAAATAGATATTGGAGAGGATACATGACTTGTCCAAGCACACAGAACCGCGTTTTCCTTGGTTCCTTTTTAATCTCACACCTCCCATCCAATCTATCCTGCCAACCATTCTTCCTCATTCTATCCTTAATTCAAAACACTTATTACTGCTTTTTACCTCACTAGTTCAAGATATTGCTCTCCAATATTACTATTATAGTCTCCCTACTTCTATTCTTAACTTAGCAACAAATATATCAGCTCACAACACTCCCTTACTCAAAACTGTCCAAAGGCTTTTCCATCACTTAAGATAAAATCCATAATACCTACCATGGCCTATTAGTCCCTCTGCCACCTGGTCTCCTGACTACATCTCCTGTCACTCTCTCTCTACTATGTTCCAGTCACAATGACCTTTTTGATACTCCCCAAACATACCAAACTTGTCCCTCTTCAGGGCCTTGACTTTTGCTGTTCTCTCAGCCTGCAGCAACTGTTCCCCATATCTTTGCAGGACTGGCTTTCTCATTTCATTCAGGTCTGATAACAAATGCCACCTCCTCAGAGAAGCCTTCTCTTCTCACCAGAGACTGTTTTCAGCTGTAAGCTGCATGAGAGATCACTGGAGCACTAGTATAACAGCTGGAACCCAACAACTACTCAAGAAAGAGCTGCTGAATGAATGAATGAACAATTACTTATTTCCTACTGCATCCAGCACTATGCCCAGAGGGATATATAAATAAAAATGCTTACAATTTCTATTTAAGGAAAATATGCATTAACAATTTTGTATACATTTTTAAAAGTCACTGCAGGGAGATTTTGGGAAGCTCAAGAAAAAAAAAAAGGCAAAGCGGGGTTGGTGTGAAAGTGGTTGTAGTGAGTTAACAGGTGTGATACAATGAGGGTCTGGATAGTGCAGATGAGTGGAGAGAATGGGAAACCCAAGATACATCTTACATGGAGAAACAAGAGGACTTCATGCTAAATTAAGTACAGGAACGAGGACAGCAGAGAAAGATTACCAGGGACACAATGAAAGAAACCTGTAGTGGTAGGGTGGAGTGACTTTTATTTTGGACAGTAAGTAAGCCCAGTGTTACCACAGGCTATTCAAATGGAGACGCTTCTCAACAACGGGTAGATATTGCAATTTAGAATAGTCCAAGGTTTAAAAATCAGTCATATAAAAAGTACAATTCAAGCCAAGAGAGTTTACCAAGGGAATGAATGTAAAGAAAAGACAAGACTATCCAACAGAATTTGGGGGATACCTATAAATAAGGCTCATGGGAAGCAAGAGAGGTGACACTGTACGGTGTTTTGTTATGTTTTAAGTCCAAGAAATAGAGAAATGGAAAATACACTGAAGGCGAAAGAGGAAAGATTTCTAAGGAGGAGAACATGTTAGCTTTAAATGATGCATGGAGGTATAAAAGAATATAAGACCGGAAACTTATTCTCTCCAAATTATCTATGTTCCCACCGTATCAGATCAGAAAAAGCCTACATAGATGGAATGCATTACTCTCTGTATCCAAAGACCTGCCTTCAGTGAACTCCTTCCTAGCATTATGCTTTCAACTTCAATCAATACAAAAAAAAAAACAGGCTTGTGATGGTAAAGAGTCAATAAAAAGGCTTGTGAAAGAACCAAATATACTTTCTATAAAACTCTGTAATTAAAAAAGCTATTAAATATTTTTAAATAGTTACATTCAAATAAAATAAGTAACTGAATAAAAAGATAAATGTTCCATTTTATTTTTTATTTTCTTGGACAAAAATAAGATAATTAAGACTAAATCTATAATTTAAAATGCATACTTGATTTAAAGCCCTAATCCTTAGAGTATAAAAACCTTGTAAAGGCATTCCTGGGCTTCCCTGGTGGCGCAGTGGTTGAGAATCCCTCTGCCAATGCAGGGGACATGGGTTCGATCCCTGGTCCGGGAAGATCCCACATGCTGCGGAGCAACTAGGCCCGTGAGCCACAATTACTGAGCCTGTGCTCTAGAGCCTGTGAGCCACAATTACTGAGCCTGCATGCCGCAATTACTGAGGCCCGTGTGCCTAGAGCCTGTGCTCCACAATGAGAGAGGCCACCACAGTAAGAAGCCCACACACTGCAAGGAAGAGTAGCCCCCCGCTCGCTGCAACTAGAGAAGGCGCGCGCGCAGCAACAAAGACCCAACACAGCCTAAATAAATAAATAAATAAAATAAATTTATTTTTAAAAAAAAGGCATTCCTTCATCATGGTAGTAGCAATTTTTACACATAACTTACTGGATACTTGCAAATGCATGAGAAAAAAAATACATGAAATTAAGACGACACTAGAGGTTAAAGTCAGACAAATCTTAGGGCTTCTCATAAAAATCCTGGGTGGCTTTTACAATGAAAAGGTAATTCTTTAAAATCATCTTGAAACTAGGAAATATATTCAAGTTAGACATATAAAAAGTAATATTACATTTTATGAAAACATAATTCAACTAATGCATTGGTTATGTACTTTTCCCCCACCAGACACCATCTTAGTAAACATGCACAGAGAAAATCTCAACTATATTTACCAGTTTACCAACTATATTTACTATGTTTCCAGTAATTAGCATGTAACTATCTCTATTTTTCTTCTTCCTCTGCCCCCAAATGGAAAAAGTCTTTCCTTATCTAATCAATTTTAGCATACTCAAGACTTCACCTTCACTTGACAACCTCACATAAGTTTCAATATATACAACGTAAGGATATTTATCCCTACCAAGCTTATTGAAAAGATTCAAAGGAATAAATGAATAAAAAATTTAGTGGCTTTTTCTCACTCTATTCAATCTGAACATGAAAATATATGCTAATTAACCCTAAAATTCATTTAAAGTAATAGTCACTAAAATATTTAATCATTAATTTATATACCAGTTTAATGTTTTCTCTGTGTTCTATGCTCATTTCAAGGTATGGTTATATAATAAAAATTCTCTCTAAGATTTACATATGAAAAGTAATCTCATAAACCATATGCTACTGGTAGGCTATTTCAGTGTTGCAATCTTGGATTGTAGACATGGAAATTCTGTCTTTATCATTCACTTTTTAGAGAATCACAAGTATGCACAATTTGGCATACGTTTTTAAGGTTAATAACAAACTTTATAAAAATCTAAACATGCTTCTACCATCCTCTAGCTATTTCAAATCCTGTCTATTATTATTATTATTTTTATTACTTGGGGAAATTACTTGGTAGGAAAAAAATCACATGCTTCAATAAGCAATACTTTAGGGGGGAAGGATACTTGTAAATAATAGGAATCTATAGAACCGGAGAAACTGGTAAAAATGTGATCTACCACTAATGGAATACATATCAATATTCATGGGATGTGGGTCCCACAGATAAGAGACTTGTGCATCTACTGATGTTGGTACCTGTGGCAGGGCCTAGAATCAATCCCCCACTGATATCAAGGGACAACTCTATTCTATACAGAGCTGTGCAATGGAACTTAATGCAATAATGGAAAAGTTTACTATCTGCACTGTCCGATACCCAGTCCAGAGCCAAATGTGACTATTGAGTACTTGTAATATGGTTAGTGTGATTAAGGAACTGACTTTTAGATATTAACTAATTTAAATTTAAGTATCCACATGTGGCTAGTGACTACCGTATTAGCGCAACTAGGCATTTCTGAAACTATACTAAGATCAAAGTGTAAATGATCCTCCTAAAATATTTGAAAATTTATTTTCTCTATTTTTTTTAGACATAGGGAAAAAACCGTCAACTGTGTTGGGCAGAATATGTTCCATTCAGGAACAGTGCTCCAAATTTGGAGGGAAATTATTTTATCTTCAAATAACTTTCAAGTTTATGTTGGGTGGAAAAGAAGGTTTACTTTATTGCAGAGTTCTTAATGTACCATAGTGCTTATAAGAGGAAGTAGTCTTAGATTTTGGAGAACTAAGTTTTAAATCTCTTTAAATTTAAATCTAAATCAGCTGGGTAGAAGTGGTTTACTTCATTTATTCATGCACTGTTATGACTAAAACCTCAACAGAACTTAGAAAAAAAAGAAATTTATTTTACTAACAATTTTAATAGTTCTGATCCTTGGGAACCTCTTTTTCCAACAATTATTTTCCCTTTCTTATTATGTTTTAAGAAAAAAACATGAGCAAGCTTTAACAACA